AATGTGACCCAACCTTCTCATCCAACGTCCTATAAAGGCTAGCATTAAAAATGGAACCTGCTCATCCCACGTCCTCTAATAATTAACACGAAAAATTCAACCTGCCCATCCCACGTCCTATAAAAGCTAAGACTAAAAATAGAGCTTCCTCATCGTATGTTCTCTAACAAATAATACTAAAAATGTAACCTGCTCATTCAACGTCCTCTAAAAGCTGACAATAAAAATTGTAACCTGCTCATCCAACATGTCCTAAATGCTAACACTAAAAGTGTAACTTGCTCATCCAACGTCCTCTAAAAAGAAACAATAACAATAGAACCTGTTCATCCTACGTGTCCTAAAAGCTAACACTAAAAATGTAACTTGCTCATCCAACGTCCTCTAAAAGCTGACACTAGAAATGTAACCTGCGCATCCTATGTGTCCTAAATGCTAACACTAACAATGGAACCTGATCATCATACGACCTCTGAAACCTAACACTAAAAATGTAACCCGCGCATCCTACGTCCTCTAATAGATGACACTAAAAGTGTAACCTGCTCATCCAACGTCCTCTAAAAGGAAACAATAACAATGGAACCTGTTCATCCTACGTGCCCTAAAAGCTAACAGTAAAAATGTAACCTGCTTATGTCACGTCTTCTGAAATCTAACATTAAAAATGTAACCTGATCAGCTCACGTCCTCTAAAAGCTAACACTAAAAATGTAACCTGATAATCTCACGTCCTCTAAAAGCTAAGCTTGAAAATGGAGCCTCCTCATCGCACGTTCTCTAAAAGCTAACACTAAAAACGCAACCTGTTCATCCAACGTCCTCTAAAAGCTAACACTAAAAATGTAACCTGCTCATCCCATGTCCTCTAAAAGCTAACATTAAAAATTTAATCTGCTCATCCCACGTCCTCTGATAAGATTCACAATATTGTGACAACATGTCTAACAAAGTTTAGTTAAATTTTTCCACTAACCTATCAGCAGTTGGATTAGCATTTAGTGATGGAGATAAGTTTCATGTGTCTTCAGCATTTATTATACAAGGTCTTTATCCATATTCACTAGGTGTATGTTTCTTTCCTTTTCTGTAGTATCTAACCTGTAAGTGTTATGTATTTTTATTTTTGCCAACTACTTTCCTTTAATGTATAACTTTAGCTTGTAGCATTTATTATAATTTTAATCAATTTTCCTCCTATAACCTGTCGAAGTTGCCTCAATTTTTCTGTCAGGATTATTTTAACTTTTTCCTAATATTTAATTAAGATCCCTTTATTTTAATAACATGTTCAATTAAGCTACTTTCCTCGCTTTACTGAATTGCACTAAGATCTGAGGCTCAATTCTAGTAAGTTTATGGACTTACAATGCTAAGGTCTGAGACTCAATTCTGGTATGTTTATGGACTTACAATGCTAAGGTCTGAGACTCAATTCTGGTATGTTTATGGACTTACAATGCTAAGGTCTGAGACTCAATTCTGGTATGTTTATGGACTTACAATGCTAAGATATGGGTCTCAATTCTGGTAAGTTTATGGACTTACAATGCTAATATCTTGGGCTCAGTTTTCTGCAGTGGACAAAGCTCGGATAGCCCATTGTGCGGCTCTGTGCTGAAACAAACAAAGAAATAGACGATATATCCTTTTTTTTCTAATTTCCATCTAGCGTCACAGATTAATCTCTCAACCTAAACCACTCTTCGAATAGTGACTATACGAAGGTGGGCGTTTTAGAATATTAGAAAAAAAATCAAATCGCTGTCCGTGCAAAATATATTTTTGTGGTAAAGTTACAAAGTGTGTGTTTAATCGATTTAAAGTCTACATCAGCGTCATATGATAAAATCTATATAATTTGCAAACAAGAAAATATTTGAGACTATAAAACATTATACCTGCTTTAAAAAACAAACAAACCAATCACACATTCAATATATTTCAGACTGCAAAGTAAATAAGATACTCAATAATTATTCCAGTAATAAAGGTAGTTAAAAGTTTTTAGTTCAGACAAATCGATGAGAAAAATATGACTTAGGAAACAGTTATTAGAAACATGAAATATAATAATGCCGAGATTTATTGTAACACTGAATAGGGTGCACGAGTAACCCAGTAACCAATAAATGGAATAAGTGGCACAGCGGCATGTCTGCGGACTTACAACGTTAGAAACCGTGATGGGTAATAAATGAAATAATTAGCACCTGCTATCATCTATATTAAGCAGAAAGGTATCGGTTGATAACTGCAAGAACAAAATGTTTGATCAAAATTAAAGTCATTCCAAAATTCTGCCACAGAGAGAGAGATTTGAATTGAATATAAAATAACTGTATAGTAGCTTGTGGCTAGGGTTCATCTGATGTAGCTTGCGGCTAGGGTTCATCTGATGTAGCTTGTGGCTAGGGTTCATCTGATTTAGCTTGTGGCTAGGGTTCATCTGATGTAGCTTGCGGCTAGGGTTCATCTGATGTAGCTTGTGGCTAGGGTTCATCTGATTTAGCTTGTGGCTAGGGTTCATCTGATGTAGCTTGCGGCTAGGGTT